ATATGATATTGGTTACACAAAGTTGATCTACAATCTATTTTATATGAATTTGGAAATAGTTACACCCTACTCTTAAACATATAAATTTCTGCATTTTCTCTTAATTCTTTCATTTTTCGTTAATTATTTTTTGATTTATTTTCTTTTTCATTATTTTTAGATAAATCTTCTTCTTCTTTAGATAGATTCTCATCATCTATTTTAGGTTTTTTTGGATATTCTTCTTCTTTTTCATCAAGATCATGTTTTTTATATTTGCTAAGAATATTATCTATCATTTCTAAATATTCTTTTTCTTGAAGATTATCCTTGATTTTTTCTAATAATGTCTTTTTATTATCATCATTCTCTACAAATTTATTATATTTGCTCATCTTAAAATATTTCTCGAATTGTTTTATACAAAGGATTTTTTTTGATTGTTTGTTATAAAAATTGTTGTATATCATCAAATTTAGCACAAGAAATATATAATTTTCGATAACATTCATTATCTCTGTTGATGAAATAATGAACTTTATCCTCATCATTATATATTTCAACAATTTTTTTCCTTAAATATTAAAGATTTTGTTTATCTTCAATATTATCTAATTTATTAATTTCAATATCAAAATAATTTTTTTCATTCAATGTTTCAATGAAATTACCATGTGGGAATACTTTTAAATATCCTAATAACAACTCTTGAAGTAAACAATAAACATTTTCTTTTAATATTACATTATTTAATAATAATTCAAAAGCTTCTGAGAATGTGCTAATATCTTTATGATTTAATTTAAAATTTCTTTTTAGATATAATTCTTGTTGCAATTCTTGTAATTTATTTTGTTCACATGGAGTCTCAAGATATTCTTGCTCTAAGGTTTGAATTAACAAATCATATTTTTCTTCTTCTGCAAGTAATTGTTTATCTTCTTCTTGTCGCATTGAATGTTCAATTAAATTATAAAATAAATTATTATACCGATTTTTTTCTTGTATCTATCTATCAGCTGATTTTTATTTTGGTTTTCATCTAATAATGTTTGATTAAGATTATTAATTGCCATACTATTATTTGATAAATCTTGAACATGTTCTCTTCAATAGTATGTATTAACTAATTTTAAATATCTTTTATAATTTTTTATTTCTTTTTCTCTTAAAATAAGATCTAAACATCCTCATCGTTTTTGTTATAATGATGTGACATCTTTGTTAATTAATAAATTTTCATTTTTTAATTCTTGAATTCTATTATCTATTCTTGCTCTATCTTGTAATATTGTATCTGAATCAATTTTTAGTATCTCTTCTTCTAGCTCATCATAATATTTGTTTGATAGTTTTTTTAAGGTTTCATCTCTTAAAATATTTAATTCAACACGTTGAGGTTCAAATAAATTTTTGCTTTGTTGTATTTCTCTATTACCAATATCTATTAACTTCTAATAACTGAACCTTTTCTTTTTTTAAATACCTCTTCTTATATGTTGATAATCATTAGTTCCAGGCTGATCTTTTTCTAATTCTCGAATTTGCTTTTCTTGTATTTTATGAAGACTTTGTTTATCATCTTCTGTAAAATCTGATTCATTAATTTTTCTAATCCATTCATTTTTTAGTTTTTCTAAACCTGTCTCATTACGTATTTGTTTTACAAATTCATTATATTTTTGATTATATAATAATAATGATAAATGTTCTTTATGTATATTATTAAGTTGTTCTTTTAAATTATTTGGTAGTATTGTATCAATAGTAATTTGCTGATGCCAATATTAAAAATCTTTAAGTTGTTCTATAACAGTTTTATCATTAATATTATCTTGTAGATTGTTGTATCTTTGAACTATTCGTTTTTGTTCAAGCCGTTTTTTTTGCAAATTATCTTTCTGAGTTGTAGTTAATGTTAAAGAATTTTCTATCTTATTATCAATTTGACCTCCTGTTTTTAATAAATTTAAATCAAAAGTATTTTTTATCTTTTCTTTAAGTCTTTCATAATTACGATTTTCTGTTTGTAAATTAAGTTTTGCAATATTTATTAACAAATAATTATAATATTCACTATCAGTATCAAAAAGTTTTGGTTTATATATATATTTTTGATAACAACACTCTCTAAATAAAGAAGAATTTATTTTACACTTGCAATTCATTTT